AAGGATTTGAAGGACATCACAAACAGTGGGACTGAAGCCATGCTGAAAGGACAATGAAGACGTTTTGTATTTGAACTGTGCTTTTGTAACTATATTGTTAATGTTATGCCTTGATTATTGCAGTATGTCTATTAGATCCACAGTCTTCCTGTTCTATGAATAATTATTTACAGTAGAGCTGCCCACTGAAGTCATAACATCTCATTTCCCCTGCTTAAGATCGCTTATCTCAGGTGCCATTAAAGCAGATTTTCTTTTTTTTTTATAGCAGTTTTTTTTTTTTATGGAAAACAAGCTAAACTTGCTGCATGACACTTTTATAAGTTAACTTCACATTAATATACAAAGAAAGTCTATATTTAACAGAAAACCGAGTTATGAACTATGAGGAAAGAGAGAAAATACGAGGGGGAGGATCATATTTTTATCATTTTAAATAAAATAAATCAACTGCTGTCCTACTTTTAAAGCTCTCACCAAAATAAATGTTTTAAATTAATGTCTGCACATTTTGTCTTTCAAATTTAAAAGTTTTTCTAGTTGTACCAGAATATTTTTGGCTAACCAATCATTAGTATAACGAGCCAATGATCAAAATTATAGAAACTAAATATCTTTTTTTCCTGTTTGCCTCCCGCTCTGCACAGATGTTTTCTTATTTTTCCCCTTGTTTAGCATCTTTATCCGTTACCTATCCCGTCCTTTTAGCTTCTCACCGCTTCCCTCCTACCTCTCATAAGCAGTTCTCACATGAAGGAAACACATGTAAAGTTGCTAAACCAAGCAAATAAAACAATATTATGAAGCAGAATTATTTTTTTTTATTGGTGCTTTTGAAGTAAAGTCACCGGTGCACCATTTGCAATAATCATGACATCATTTAACATAATTTTAGGAGTTTTGGGTTCTCTTATGTTTTGTAGGAATCATCAGGTCTTGGCTTTGAATAGCCCAGAATAGAAACACTTTCATAATGTTCCTTTTCTGTTGCAAGTTTGCAGCTGCATTTCACCTTTGCTAAAAGTTAGAAAGATGGTCATGGTGCCAATAAGCTTTTAGTTAAGCTAAGCCTTTGCCAATTCATTCCCTTTTTTCAAGCCAACAGTTAAAGCTTCCCTCTATTTTTTTTAACCAGTAACCAAATGGTTTTATAACCATAGACTTAATTAAACCAACAGGTGATTGGTTTTCATCGTCCATGCTTGAAGTTGATTGGTTTAAGGTGGACATGTGAATTCAATCCTGGTTAAAAGTGTTTGATATCAATTCAATAGAAATAAATGCTGATCCAACTTCAGAGGATACAGAGATGAATAAATGGTTCAACTCTTTCCACCATCTTTATTTGTTTATTTGTAAAATGATATATGCAGCAGTAGCATCAGCAGGTTGAAGGCTTTGCAACAAACAAAGAAATATATATATATATAAAACCAATATTTTAAATTGAATCTTAAAGAAGAAACATGAATTCGTTTGTCTTACCCTTATGTAATGGGATTGTAAGTCAAACAGGTTATTTACTACAGGAAAATCACAGCATTTTGATCAACAAAACCCACAACCTGAACTTTCTACTGGTAAGATTTCAAGACGATGATTTCCCCTATGATCCACACAAATTAAAATAAAACAGAATCGGATCGCCTTAGACTCCAAAAGAAATATAAATAACGTGAAATGTAAAAAAATATGTTTCCGCCCGGTTTCGAACCGGGGACCTTTCGCGTGTGAGGCGAACGTGATAACCACTACACTACGGAAACCGTTATGTGTCACTGGACACAGAGAGTATAAGACGACATACCGACATACTGATTTCTGGTGACCAATTCTTTTGCCTTTTCAGTTGTATTTTGATTACTCTTTGCATCCTTATTGACACTTGGGTAACGCCATTTATGGTCTCTGGTGAGATTTAGGGATTTTGAGAGCGCCGTTTCCCCTGTTCAATGTTGCAGTTAGGCTTTTCGTTTCATAATACATATTCCATCTACTCTTAAAAAGATATTTGATACCAGTTATATTTTTCCACTATGATTAAAAATCGCACCTATGCAGCTTTGTGTCTATGTAGGAATATTTTGACATTTCCTTTAAAATGTGCAATAAATTAGGGTAGCCAATTCTCCTTTAAAAATGTAGCTGACCCTATTTAAGAAACAAAATTAGCTGTCTAATCTAATTCAACTTGAACTCAAATATATTTATAAAATGAATTCATACATGAGGAAAAATAAATTGATAAGGTTGGTTGTGACGAGACATTTTCCCTTATCCAATTTTTACGGCGTTGGCAACCCTAGTCCTTAAGGTTCATTTTTGGACTAGAACAGGGGCAACGATTCTGCCGCAACATTAATTCACCCGTTAAAGTATGTTATATCCTTGATTTAGCTATGGTTCGTCTGTGAACATTAACTTTACAAATGTCAAATATGCAGTTTTGGCTCTCCGTCATTTCAAACCAGGGTCCAGCCCTCCCTGGGAAAAAGGCATTTGATCAGACAAAATGAAGACATGCCAATGAACCTTCTACAGGAGCTGCTGATCATCTACTTTTCCTTTGTCGAGTTGGTTTTGTGCAGATCTATTTTGGCTCTACAATAATTTGGTCTGCTGGTAGGACTGACCTCTCCACCCAACTTATTTGCTAAAAGGCGGCGCCAAAAGAACAGTTAAATAAAAGACATCACCACAGCCCATTAAATTACAAAAATATATATATTTTAAACCTGATCATCTGCTCATCTCCTTGATTTTCCCATTTATATATAAAATTAGAAAAGTTCATTTCTATTAAGGAAAGGTTTTATCAAAGATCCACAAACTGAACCGAAAGCCAAATACCTATTCAGGTCAGTTTTAAAAAGAAAACATGTATAACGAAACACCAAGACTTGTCTTTATTAACATGGTTGAAGCTTCTAAGATCTACTTTGTTATATTTAACTAGGTTCCTTGTACAAAACAAAAAATCTAATTTGTCCTGGAATTTAAATGTATGAAAGCAACTGGTGGTTCCTTAATTTCAAATGTTTTAGTCTCTTTTCTAAATAATTTTAAGGATCTAGCTTCTTCAGTTTGGCAATAAACTTAAAATGTGCTCATGGCCCGATGATCTAAACGCTGTACTACTATTGCAATTTGATATAAAAGGATAGATAATTTTTCATGTTCTGTACAGGTGCTGGTCATAAAATTAGAATATCATGAAAAAGTAGATTGATTTCAGTAATTCCATTTAAAAAGTGAAACTTGTATATTATATTCATACATTACATACAAACTCATATATTTCAGATGTTTATTTTGTTTAATTTTGATGATTACAAATGACAACAAATGAAAATCTCAAATTCATCATATCAGAAAATTAGAATATTACTGAAGACCAATAAAAACAAAGGATTTATAGAAATGTTGGCCAACTGAAAAGTATGAACATGAAAAGTATGAGCATGTACAGCACTCAGTATTTAGTTGGGCCTCCTTTGGCCTGTATTACTGCAGCAATGCGGCGTGGCATGGAGTCGATCAGTCTGTGGCACTGCTCAGGTGTTATGATAGCCCAGGTTGCTCTAATAGTGGCTTTTAGCTCTTCTGAATTGTTGGGTCTGGTGTATTGCATCTTCTTCTTCACAATACCCCATAGATTTTCTATGGGGTTAAGGTCAGGAGAGTTTGCTGGCCAATTAAGAACAGGGATACCATGGTCCTTCAACCAGGTACTGGTAGCTTTGGCACTGTGTGCAGGTGCCAAGTCCTGTTGGAAAATGAAATCTGCATCTCCAAAAAGTTGGTCAGCTGCAGGAAGCATGAAGTGCTCTAAAACTTCCTGGTATGTGGCTGCGTTGACCCTGGACCTCAGAAAACACAATGGACCAACACCAGCAGATGACATGGCACCCCAAACCATCACTGACTGTGGAAACTTTACACTGGACTTCAAGCAACGTGGATGAAGTGCCTCTCTTCTTTTCCTCCAGACTCTGGGACCTTGATTTCCAAAGGAAATGCAGAATTTACTTTCATCAGAGAACATGACTTTGGACCACTCACCAGCAGTCCAGTCCTGTTTCTCTTTAGACGCTTCTGACGCTGTCTGTGGTTCAAGAGTGGCTTGACACAAGGAATGCGACAGCAGAAACCCATGTCTTTCATACGTCTGTGTGTGGTGGTTCTTGAAGCACTCACTCCAGCTGCAGTCCACTCTTTGTGAATCTCCCCCACATTTTTGAAGGGGTTTTGTTTCACAATCCTCTCCAGGGTGCGGTTATCTCTCTTGCTTGTACACTTTTTTCGACCACATCTTTTCCTTCCCTTCGCCTCTCTATTAATGTGCTTGGACACTGAGCTCTGTGAACAGCCAGCCTCTTTAGCGATGACCTTTTGTGTCTTGCCCTCCTTGTGCAAGGTGTCGATGGTCGTCTTTTGGACAACTGTCAAGTCAGCAGTCTTCCCCATGATTGTGTAGCCTATAGAACTAGACTGAAAGACCATTTAAAGGCTTTTGCAGGTGGTTTGAGTTAATTAGCTGATTAGTGTGGCACCACGGGCCATCAATTTTGAACCTTTTCACAATATTCTAATTTTCTGATATGATGAATTTGAGATTTTCATTTGTTGTCATTTGTAATCATCAAAATTAAACAAAATAAACATCTGAAATATATGAGTTTGTATGTAATGTATGAATATAATATACAAGTTTCACTTTTTAAATGGAATTACTGAAATCAATCTACTTTTTCATGATATTCTAATTTTATGACCAGCACCTGTATAATTAAACCAAAAACTACAAAACAATCTGTAAACATCTCGCAGCCTTAACATCGCCGAAGCATTTTCTTTCTCCATCTCCTTTGCTAACTCACTAAAAAACAGCAACCTACATCAATTTCAATATTTGGATGAAATGAAAGCATACATCTGTGAATCAACCATTCGGTGTGAAATGGAAAACCTTTGCAATGAGAGCCAGTGACCAGACATGCTTCTTTTTCACATTTTTATTGTGTTTTTAGAAAAACATTTTAATCAAAGAGACCAAATCCCATGTCGTCGTCTGACTCCTCGGACTCTTCCTTCTTCTCTTCCTTTTTCTCCTCCTCTTTAGCTGCAAAAGCAAAAAAACAGTTTCAGTTAAGGGACATTTTCTGTGAGTCTGGCCGTTATGATTATTTTATTGAGGATGTGAGTCTGTTAAACCCTAATAATAAGGCCTTTAATGAAACACTATTTTCCAAACCTGCTAAACTATAGCTTGTATAACTTGGGTAGAAAACTTTTCAGAATTAAATCGAATCAAATGAGCCTCCTGAGGAAACATGCACTATACATAAATATAAACTTAGAATATGAGAGTATTACCTGGGGCATCAGCAGCTGCTGCAGCGGCAGGAGCCCCAGCAGGAGCGCCTCCTCCAGCTCCAACGTTGCAGATCAGGCTACCGATATCAACGCTGGACAAAGCCTACAATGACAGTTCAACATTAATTCATTGATCCAGTTTTGGACCTGGCAAATGACAATGAAATATTTGAGATTACAAACATGCTTTTAACTTTAGAGCTGACCAAAAATTGCAATGACAATCTTTGAAAATATCTTTGTTTATAAGGCTCAAATTGACCTCATTCAATTCTAAAAGCAACACTGGGTCTATTTTACAGTAAATGGAAAATTGTGTCCTCCCTTCCAAATAATCAAATTGTGTTTTTGCTGATACTCCCTTCCTGTTTTGTGCTAAATAAAATTGCCAATTTTAAAGCTGTCTCTGCTTCTAAAAATGCTTATTTATCCATTTCCCCCCCATAATTTTGCATAATGGCAGGCAAAGTTTGTTATCAGATATTCCAAGATCCAGAGTGGAGTAAGGTGAGCAGGCTACGGCAGCAGCTGCTCCAAAATAACCAAACTGTATTGATTGACTAGTGCATAAAACTGCTTAAACTATGAACAAACTTACCACTGTTCAAGAATCCCTTACAGTATCAATGATTACCATTTAGTAATTAAACGTTAGTCAATTGTAGCATTGTTACAAATACTTCAAAAACTACACAACCACACAAACTGATAATGATTTCTAATTAAAAACCAAAGAAAACCTATCACTGCCAACAGACACCTATTTTAGTTATGATATGAACTCTTTACATCTTTCTATTAGCCTAAGTGTTGTTTATAGGGAAAGGATTATTAATCCTCAATGTGAATTTTGGTTAGGGGTGTCCCGATTCAATTTTGTTATTCTAAAAAAGATTTAGATCCTTTAGTCTTTACAGATAAAATGAACAAATCTTAGTTTTATTAGTTATTTTGTAGTTTATTAACAGAAAGGGCTAACTCAAGTAATATTACCCAAACAGAGCAATAGTCTGCAACAATTGTGAGAAACTGGTCCATTTATGATAACCTATTGGGTTATATCAACTCTATTAGGAAATGGATAGAAGTGTGTTTCTATAATCTTGCTTATTTCGGACATTACAGATGCAAGCTCATGCATTTCGATATTTGTCTTCTTTGGCTGACAATGGATCAATTTTAAATATCTATGAAGATTAAAAGACCAGTTTCATTTTACCGTGACGTTTATGGCCAATTTGGTTACTAATCCACAATTCGATTAGATATGCCAACAGATTCCCGTATTTGATTGTCTCCAAGCTGTCTAGAGATGCACTTTGCTCAACTGAATCAACTGATAAAAGCTTAACCACTCAGAGCTGTTAACTAGTTTTATGAGAATGTTTACATAAAAAAATAATTTTAAAAATGAAATAAGAACTCTTGAAATGTGGCCACATTTTTGTAGCTTTACTAAATACTTAAAAAAAAAAAGTTCCTGTAGAAAAATGATCACACTCTGATCATTGTAAATCCAAGTGTTTTAATTTTGAAACTAAAAAACACATTCAGATGTCATTTAACACTCATGCTTTGGTTAAATTGGTTACATATTTACCTGTAAGAGATGAAGTGTTTTAATAGGCCTCTTACCTTGGCAAACAGACTTGGCCAGAAAGGCTCCACGGTGACTCCAGCAGCCTTGATCAGAGCGTTCAACTTGTCCTCCTACAGATAGAAAAAAACGATATTATTTCTATATGTGAACTGATTTCCTCTTTACACAGGGTTACACAGTTAGCAATACTAAGTGAGGCCAGTTTAAAATGTTATATAGCTGTTTACGGTTTTTAAATGAGTCCCCATCAGATTTAAGTTGGTCAATTTTAAATTCAACTTTTACGAGAATCATTGCCTGAGTTTCAAATATTAACACAACTGTTTAATAACTTCTATGAAGCAAGGGAAAATATTTAGACTGATGTCTAGTGAAACACTTGTAGAGATGAGCACCAGGACACATGTCTATTCAACAGACAAGGCATGCTGATGGAAAACAAACTTTTTCCGGATTTCATTCATATTCCTCGTATTCACCACCCTGTGTGACATATTATAAAGAGAAAACAAAGTCCTGCCCTTTGAGGAATACATTAAAGTGACTGCCAGTCATCACACACTAGTGCTGTGAAAAAGCCCCGATAGCTTCAAGCATGCCGCCATATTGATAACATAGGCGGTAAAATTAGCCGTTATCGATGTTATTTTAATTTTCTACATTTTATTTAAGAACAGTTCGGGCATATCTAAATTACTGGACGCTAAGAGTGACATATTGCCCAGCATGATATTTTTAACGGGAAGCTGTGAGCTAGCGCACCGGCTAACAGGACTAGCTTCCCCGGTAGACTTACGGTGACGGTCACTTCATCGTCGTGGAGGATGAGAGCGGAGTAAATACAGGCGAGCTCGGACACAGATGCCATTGTTGATGTTGGATTTTCAATCAATAGATTTGGATGCCTAAATTTGAGGGTACTAGTCGCCGGATTAGAGGCCTTAGCTTCGGATGAAGAACCAAGCACCTTAGGCACGTTAACGTTCCAACAGCGGAAAGGGAAAAGCAGAGGGCGGGATTTCAATATATACTGAACGTCACTTTGCGTGGTGACGTGACCACGCACCACACTTTAAGCTTTGCTACATGAGTGTTTCTTTAACTACGGACACTTTTATGTCCTTTGATCATATTTCATGAAACATTTAAAAAAGGAAAATTCCACACCTTTATAGTTATCTTTACAATGAAACTGTCATACACATACAAGGCCCTTGTTCCCTCACATTTTTATTTATCTAATTTTATTATTAGAACAATGTGGTAATATTATAAAATAACACTTTTTTAGACAACTTTTGACATGTTTCTACATGCTAAGCATTTTGCGATAGTGCTACCCCCTCTCTCCCACCCTTAGTACCACCTATGCACAACTGCAATTAATTTATTATTTAATAATGTATTCATTTATCATTATTATTTATTATTATGCTCCATAAAGTTTTTAAAAAGAAAGGTTTGTTGTCTATATAGTCCATTCATTGTAATTTCCACCACGCTGTGTAATTTCCACCGCACCATTTTTTGAAAATAAATTGTTGCAAAATTCTAATCACTCATTAAAACCTTCTTCATAACTTAAGAGATAATGTTCCACTTTAATTAAAAACACAAGTATTTACACCTTGAAATGTATCTTGCTATTCCAATGCTATATCTCAGATTATGGTGGACATAAGATTTGCGTCTTGTCTCATCACAATTAATTTACCTAATCCATAAATGTGTTTTACAATAAATGTATAAACAGTTAAAACTATATATGAAATTGTTCTTCCAGTGAAAAAACGTGTATCATAGTAAATATATAATATAATATACAAATATTTATGTGATGGAAATTACATTTGTGCCAGCCGAGTTGGGAAATCTGTTAAAAAACACCAATTTGTCTTAAAAAAAATCAGTGTTTTCTTGTGAATCTTCAAACTAGACTAGTTATGCTAACCGATTACATTGTGTGAATTTATATTTTGATACTTTTTCTCTTCAAGTTTGCAAGGCCAATAGTGCCCGTAGTTAAAGAATCACATACATACATAAATACATACAAGCTTTTAATAAAAGCTCTATATTTGACACTCATAAAAACCTGGTAGAGGGTAGGAAATGAAATGTTTCAAAAAATAAATAAAATAAAATAGAATAAATGTGTGTGGAATTATTGTCATTCTCGAATTGCAACTTAATAGAAGAAATAACCAATGCAACAGATAGTAAGAAAATGGCAATAGCGATATTTATAGATCTAAAGAAAGCCTTTGATACAATAAATCATGAAATTCTACTTAAAAAATTAGAACGCTATGGAATTAGGGGAGTAGTTTTGGACTGGATGAGGAGTTATTTAAAGAGCCGGAAACAATTTGTGAAACTGGGAGATGTGGAATCTGACTGGCAGGAGACTGTCTGTGGAGTACCACAAGGATCAGTATTAGGACCAGTCTTATTTAATCTCTATATAAATGATATCAGTAAAGTGTCCAATGTATTAAAATTTATCTTATTCGCTGATGACACAAATATTCTAGTCTCTGGCGACAATTTAGAACATCTCCTCTCAACAGTCACCTCAGAGATTAGTAAGTTAAAGATATGGTTTGACAATAATAAATTATCATTAAATTTGGACAAGACAAAAATCATGGTTTTTGGGAACTGTTACAAAAATACTGAAATCCAAGTTCAAATAGAGGACGTAACTTTAGAAAGGGTATCTGCTAATAAGTTTCTCGGCGTAATAATAGATGACAAAATCTGTTGGAAACCTCATATTAAACATTTACAGGGTAAACTTAGTAGAAGCATATCTATATTGGCTAGAGCTAGACATGTATTGAATGCTGAATCACTTCATATCCTATATAATTCTCTGATTTTACCATATCTATCATATTGCTGTGAAGTGTGGGGAGTTAATTACAAGAGCTCTTTACATCCGGTAACCATCCTACAGAAACGAGCCATTAGAATAATCCATAATGTTGGTTATTATGAGCATACAAACCCACTCTTCAAAAAATCCAGAATTCTCCAATTTGACGAGCTTGTAGAATTTAAAATGGCTCAATTTATGTTCAAAGTATCTAAAAAGTTGTTACCTGAGCACATACAGAGCATGTTCTCTGAAAGAGAAGTGGGGTATAATTTAAGGGGTTACTCAAACTTAAAGATGCGCAAGTTGCGAACAACAAGAAAAAGCTTCTGTATTTCAATTAAAGGTGTAAAGTTATGGAACAACTTAAATGAAGATTTAAAACAAAGCAATAGTTTAATACAATTCAATAGAAAATATAAGGAGGTCATTTTCAATAGAGATAGACATATGAGTGAGAGAAAGCAAAAATGTGTGTATTACAGATAACAACTTGGTGTAAGGGTTTGAAAAGACAAACCAGCATAAAAAGGGAATTGTGTTAGGTAAATATTAGTAACTGCTGACTGCCACTTTGACTTTCACTTGACTTTGATTTTTTTCTTTTTTGTTTTTGTTTTATAACAGTAGGACTGTAAGTTTTTATGTGTTTAGGGGGTAGGAGTTAATAAGTTTTCACTTCTTCCTACCCCATTTTTGAGCATGATATGTCAATGGAAACAAATATCTGTATTTTTCTTTTCTTTTTTATGCACTGCTTGTTACTGTGCACTATTTTATTTTTTTATATTTGTATCATGTTCAAAATAAATCTCATTTCATTTCAAACCCTTCATCTTAACTGTTTCATTGATGGTCAAAGCTGGTACAAAAATACCCCATTGGATTTTTTCTGAAGTGGATGAGCTTCAGCTACCAAGAAACTTTAGGAAAATGTAGGAAACATATATATATAAAATTACATACATATATAGATTTTTGAAAGGAAAGATTAAAATCAATGCAGAGACACACAAATTGCATGAGTTTACCTAAACAACAAAGCCACTGACTGAAGATGTACAAACTTGTCTCTAAAGGGCATGACTAAGAAACTCATACATAATTTAATAACAAAACCTGAGCAAAAAAAAAAAAAAAAAGAATATTCAGTAAATGACAGCAGGAAAACGGTAATTTGATAATCTTAAAAAAGATTTGCTGTATTCTTTTATCACTCAGGCTTAATCCACCGAGGTGGTTAGGGAACTCTGGATGTTGTTGGGCTGTCATGGCTGACACGCCTCTTCAGCATCGCATGGAGGTCAAGGACGGCATTCCTGGATTGGCAGACAAAACCTACAGGACGTATATGGGCTGGTCACAACCGGGTGTAAAGCAGCCAGGACGAGAATCAACTCCTCCAAGTCCAAAACCACGGTTCGTAACCAGAAATAGGTGGTTTATCCCCTTCAAGTTGGAGAATTCCTGCCTCAAGCCTTTTTCCTGTTCATTTGTGAGGGGAGAATGGAGCGAGAGATCAAGTGATGGATTGTTTGGCTGCTGCTATAATGCAGGTGCTATTGTGGTAAAGAGAGATCTGAGAAAAAAAGGCAAACTTCTTGATTTATTGGTCGGTCTAAGTTCCTGCCCTCACCTTTGGTCATGAAATCTGGATCATGACAGAAAGAACGACATGCTGGATACAATCAGCTGAAATTAGTGTGGTTGACCACTCCCTTAGAAAGGAAAGAGGGTCAGGAGCTTCATCTTTCAGGAGAAGCTTGGAGTTGAATTGCTTCTCCTCCACATCGAGAGGAGTCAGGTGGGGTGCCTCGGACATCTTTGTCAGATTCCCCCTCGAGAGGTGCTCCAGGCACGTCCCACCGGACGACCCAGGACCTGTCTTTCAGCATGCCTGGGAGCTTCTCAGGCATCCCTACAGCAGAGCTGAAAGAGATGTCCGAGGATGATGCGGAAGACGAGTACAAGTAAAAAATGTTTGCGCAGGTTAAATAAGAATATTCCATTATAATTGTAGCTCTTAGTATTCATAAAAAGCTCATCATATCTCACTGATTTGACCGTCAAAGGCTGGTAGGTCAACCAATCAACAGTATGGAGGAATCACCAAATCAGTAGGAAAATTATTTTATCATTCATCATTTTTATTACATTTCAATGAAAAACAAAAACATTGCAATAATGTCAAACAATTTCAATGCAAAATTCCAGAAAATCTTTTCTGGCCTCAATTAGCTTAGAACAATTCTTTTTACCTTCTTGCTGTAAGAATCTTGATATCTGAAGAATGGATAAATTGATTCCTAATAGAGTCTGTATACTGTAAAGGAACATTTACAATAAGCAGGAGTAAATGAGTAAAAACGTGATATTTTTTTTTTTTTTTAGGTCCAGGTGTTATAATACTTTCCAACCAATATTCTCCCCTCTAAAACATCAGTGTCTATTAAAAACATTGGATGGGTCATTTATGTCACACATTCAAAGCTTACAGATAATTAGTAAAAATCACTCGTGCATTTGGCACAAAAATGTCTTGGCCCTGACATGTACAGAAAAAAAAAAATGAGAAGGTTTATGAACGTCAGTGTACCCTTATATATATTTAGCAAAATAAACCATAACATAACCAATGGACAGAAAACCAAACTCATCTTCACACATTGAACCTGCCAACATTAAAGGAACAGTTCAGTATTGTAAAACGGAATTCTGTTAAAAGATAAGCAGTTATTATCTAACCTGCATTAGATAACTACCTTGGTGGCATTACTTGTTGAACATGTAAATTAGTTGGCCTCAGAGACAGAAGCTGGTGGGGATTCAGACTGGACAAGTCTTAGAAAACCTCTTTCATCAGAAACCAGTATCAGTCTAAAAATATTACAGTAGTTTAAGTGAATGCCATTTTATAAGCCTGTAAACTGCCTTGTTACCCTGGTCTAATCCGGAAAAGAGGTTGGAGGTGTTTTTCCTTCAAGGAAACTTCCCATGTGACATGCATACATCAAAGTAAGCAAGAGAAATCTGCATTACTTTTATATTAGATAGTCAATATGAATTTAAAGTCCTTTGCATTTATCGATTCACACATGAAGTCTAATGATGGAAAACTGTCTTCAATTGTAAAATACATAAAAAGGCTTAAATAACATACATCTAACAAAGGTTTACAAGTTTTATAAAATACAATCTGCAAAAACCACTATAAGACTTTTGAGATTCTACTTGTTTTTTTTTTAACTTAGAAGTTCGATTTGTTGTTGACTTAAAAGAGGACACCAGGAAAGGTCTCAGTTTTTTACCAGAATCCCATCTTAATCCAACACCGAATCATTCCTTTAACATTCAGAAACTCTCCTACATAAAATCCTACATTTTCCGTATCTGCATCAGAACTTTATCTCCACATCAGCTTTTACAGAAGCCAACAGGAAGAAACTTTTTCACAAATATAACTATTATGTACTTTTTTCCAATTCAATGCTTGTTCATTTAAAATCGATATTATTCTTGATTCAAGTTTTTATAATGAATATTCTAATTATGCAATAAAAGACGCGTTTAAAAAACAAAGTTTCTTTTTGCATTTGTCTCGAATGCAAAAATGAAACTTTCTTACTGAAACACTAAACCACTGAATCTTACCCTCTATTTTATGTTTTCTGTAAAAAAGTTATTGCATGTTTTTAACTATAAGTATAGAGCAGTTGGTTCTTCCTGATGGAAGATATGAATCAAACGATTGGCTTAAAAAAAAAACTGCTCCCATTGGATGCATCATATGAGGTAATCTTTCAAAGTGGCCTGAAACATGTTCCTAGGATTAGTTAACAGAAATTTAAATTAGAAAAATCCACCTGAAACTCTAAGCTAAACAACCTTTGCAGTGGAATGTAAGCTGGTATAGAAATATGATAGTAAAGCCCTCACAGCCGTTAGTGTAGTGGATTATATCACAGTGTTTGATTAGATGCAGTCAGTTCTCCAGTCTACACACTTTTTTTGCATACGTTTTGATGCTAGCTTTTCAGATTTAGCTTGTTGATTTTTATGCCATTTCACACTAGAACGAAAACTGCTAGAACCAGAATTTTAACGAAAATTCTGGTTCATTTGCAACAAAGTGATGCATTAGACTCAGCTCATTGGACGTTAGTACGAGTACGTTTCTGTAATTTCTTTGATCAACTGTAATGAAACTGATTTATATTTTAATCAGAGTAAAACGTGAACGTTTCAGCCTTTAACGTTTCTGTTAACAAGTTTTCCCTTCCACCAAATCCATCAAGATGCCCTGGCATGGTTCCTACAGTAGCCCAGAGTGGACAAATACTGGCTACATATTGGCTCTCTACCGATGTTCAAGTTTTTTAGCAGTTAGTGAGGAATGATGTGCAAGCAATTAAACCTTCAAATGTTGCCAACATTTCTGTGGTTATGGGTGAAGAAAAGATGACATCTGAAGGCAGCAGCTCGTCGAAGTCTGCAAAAAACACCCATGTTCCCTCTAGTCCTTGTGAGTCTTTTCTTTGGGCTTCTCATCATATGAAATACCATATTCATTTACTCTTGTTCTGTCCACTGGGTAGAGCCTGAGGAAACAGAATAATAGGATATTTGTAGGGTTTGTTGGCAGATTAGGAATACATGCAGAGGTTGTGTGCGTTTACCATCTCTGATATAGATAAATTAGGAAAACCACATCGTCCCTGAAACATGCCAGTCTGTGGGAGGTTGGCATGGTGATGATGAAGGCGAACACATCATCAATGAAGGTGTTGAATGCCTGGAAACAAAGTCAAATGTGAATCTCTGAATAATTTCAAGTACTTTTTGATAGTATACATCATATATGAGATAAACGTATCAATCATAAAAATATACATGAAGTGTTACCCATCAGCCCCTCATACATGTGTTTAGAATGAGGGAGGAAACTAATATGTCCTCCCTATTATTCGTGTATCCATCAGAAACCAATCTCACCTTATACATGAAGGCCTTCCAAGGCAGGTGAGCCACAGACTTCAGCTGTTAAGAAATAAAATGTATTTTGGTATGAAATTCACAACATAAGAGCAGAAAACCAACATTGCTAAAAAATGTAAAGCATATTCCTATGCTCTATGTTCTTCTGATGCCAAAGCTGGAGTATAAACTAAGGACTTTTCTTCATTTATTTTCTATTCTATTCCATTCTATTTTCTGCCACCACCATTTTTTTTACATGTTAAACAAACAACATGGCCTTTATTCAGTGCTTTCTGGTTGAGTTGTATTGACAAGGCCTTCAGTTATTCGTCTGGTTTCTATAGCTACGTGTAAACTGTTCTTTCACACAAGTAAACCCGCTGAAGCATTTGTGTTTAGCCGTGTCTCCTTAAAAGACAAAGCAAACAGCTGAACATTTGCTGCCCCTTTAGCCAGTCTTTCCTTAGAAAGCACTGCTGGCTCAGTGCTTCTACATCTAGCAGGTTTGTGTTTCCTGGTACAGGGTTTATACAGGAATGACTAACTCTAACTTAATGCTTTTTAATGCTCTTAGAAAGAATTTTAATGCCACTAACAGGTACCCGTCGACAGGCTGCAGCCATGCCTCAAATTCCTTGTTTTCCAGCCACTTTTGTTGAAATTGGCATATATGTTTTTCTTTCCAATCAAAAATCCTCCTTTTTCTGTACCTTTGTTTTAGTTGCATCTCTTCTCTAGATAGAGCTGTTGTTCCCATAATTTCTCCTTCATTTGAAACATACCCCCTGCTTACCACTTGTGTCTATTTATTGTTTCCGTTTCCTTTTTATATGCAACTGAATGGGTATAAATACTGTATGATGGGACTGTAATATATGAATTGAGCTGAACTGGGACCAAACTGGGTCTGCATGACTGAATATTTGCTGTGAGTTAATGATGCAAACGGTATCCTGAACCCAAATTAAAAATACTGACCTTGTAGTTGACAAAAAGCTGAGGAAGCATGAAGAGGAAACCAAAGGCATACACACCTAAAAATTTACACAGCAAAAGAAATAGATTATTTGGATCAATTTAATCATAATAATTCAATATGTGGCATATTAATAAGAGAAAAAGAATATTTGGCTAGCTCACCGTTCACCAAGCTGTTTATTAACCACGAGTACCAACTATAAGACAACAGGTAATTAAGAAAGCTCAATCAGCATCACATTATGGCTACAGAGTAAAGACATCACATTTATTTAATTAATAAAATTCTACCTCTTATATCGCAGGAATATCAGCGCGTACACTGCCCCTCCGATGCACAGGGGATAAAGGAGGTATGAGAGATACTTCATGGCCTTAAGAAAAGCAAAGAATTTAATAAGTCTCTAAACTTTTTCAACTATTAGACTGGAATTTGCTATAAAAATTCAGATCTGCAGCTTCGTACCAGAGTATCATATTCTTCTGTTCTTCGCTCTGATTCGTCTAATTTCCCAAACTGTGAGAAGGCAAGAAAAAAAACAAAAAAAACAAGAGTAAGCAAAGATATGATGAATATTTCTTTCATCATTAAAATAAGTAATCTAAATCTGATAAGCATGATATTATTAACCTAAAAAGGCTCGTACATCAGATTTATTCTCCCTTTAAAAAAGGTTGAGCAGAAAATTGCTTTACCCTTAAGAAGCCAGACTTCCTCATAATGATCTAATATGCTAGATGTTGGAGCTTGGTCTGTTTTTTTTAGTGTAGTCCTGTTTTTTCATCCTCTGACATGGGAGCTGGCTCAGAGCTCGTCTGCCTGGCTGTGTGTTTCCTGGACAGGGCGGTCTGTGGAGCTGGTGACAGCTACTTTTTATATCCGTTTTTTTCTGTATCTCTGCTTCTGTCTCCTTGAACCCCAGTCGGCCTCGGCAGATGGCCGCTCACTCTGAACCTGGATCTGCTAGAGCAGGCATCCCCAAACTCGGTCCTCGAGGGCCGCTGTCCTGCAGGTTTTAGAGGTTTCCCTGCTTTAAAACAGCTGATTATAATGATTGCAGTAGAGCAAAAGCCTGTTAATTAGCTTTCAATTAAAATCAGCTGTGCTGGAGCAAGGAAACCTCTAAAACCTGCAGGACAGCGGCCCTCGAGGACCGAGTTTGGGGATGCCTGTGCTAGAGGTTTCTTCCAGTTAAGAGAGTTTTTCCTCTCCACTGTCGCTACAAGCATGTTTAGTGTGAGGGATTGCCTCAGAGTCAATGAGTCGATGCAATCAGCTGGTTTTCCTGAGATAGAAAACTTTTAATAAGTTTGACTGTTTGATCAGGTTGAATTGTAAAGTGTCTTGAGATTACGTGTTTTGAATTGGCTCTATATAAATAAACTGAATTGAATTGCTTTTGTTGAACAGAAAATAAACTGTCAGGTCTAAAGAAAGCGTCTTACTATGTCTGGTTTCATTATTTACTTAACTACACATTTAACCAAAAACATCTCTGGGAATCAGATTTTTGCTGCTATAAAACTGTTATTTGTCAATGTTTTTCAAAGGTGTCAATTTTGCTTTTGTTACAAATAAATTGAAAAAAAAAAAAAAGAATTTTTTTTTAATTATAATTCTTTCATTTCAATTCATGTATCTTTTTTTTTTTTTGCTTTATTGTGTCGGATATCCCCTGTTTTTAGTTATTTTATAAATTCAGCTATCAAAGCACAGATTTGAGGCACTTCTTTATATATCCAGCAGAAACATTCTTGAAAATGTGTCCACTGTACAAAACATAGTAAGTGGAAAAGCAGTTAAATCTCCAAGTGAAAAATACATATAATTAACAGCGAATAAGATCAATACAAAATGTTATTTCGCTTTGAAAAAATAAAAAAGGGATTCTTTCTAGTATTAAAAACAAATATTTAAGAGCAGCCTTTGACTCTACAAACTAAACTTTTTTAGTTCAACTTCTTTAAAAAATTATAGATAATTTGATTATTTGTTTTTTTTTTAAAACATTTTTTTAAATAAGTTTATTTATTATGCTTATTCTATTTATTTATTTTTTTAAATCAATCATAATTACCTTTGGGCCACTGAAATGTACTGTACTGAATTTTCCTATTATGCTTTTTTCTTTTGTCCCATGTAAAACTCTTTGCATTGTCCTGCTACTAAAATGTGGGATGTAAATAAACCTGCTTTGCCTTATTTATGCAGAAAAACATAAATAAAGCTGCAGTAACAGTTAAGACGGCTGAATACAAGTGTCTACATAAGCTAATTTAGGTGCTGCATCTTAGCGTGTTAATGGAAAATTTAGAGGAAGGAAAAAGATGTTAGTCATGCAGAAATACACACTTGATTAACAAGGTTTACTTTCTGAATTCATTTACTGATGTAAATCATTTTTTTCAATAATTTCCAATAATGATGCATTTGATAGAGCAGTTTTCCCCAGATTTACACCTACAGATTTGTCAGCTTTTGAGTTGCAGTCTGACACAATGTCAGCTGAAAGCTTCATTCAACATCAACTGCAGAAAACACATTGGTGGTTTTCTTCAGTATCTGTCATGTTCTTGTGTTTTTCTTTTTTTTAAACCTACCACAAATGTTGGTTTGCCTCCTTTCCACACAACCTGGATTTTAAAGGCTTTCTTCACCTTCCAAACCTGCAGAATAAAAAAAAAAAACAATGCAGCAGAAGAACATATAACAACTTGAACATTTCGAAGCTGTGATTGTGTTAATTTAGGCTTTTAATTAAAATTGAAAGTTCCAGTAGGTAATAATGTTGGTAGTGATGTCTGTGGATGTAGAAGAGTCCTTACTTCGATTATAGAGCCGATCCCAGCAGGTATGAGTACCAGAAGACTAGTTTGCTCGTCGAACAAATAGAGGAAAATCACTATGGTGCTGAAACATCTCCACAGCACTGAAATAAAGGGCATTAAATAATCCATCAGACTTTACATTTCCACAAGACTAATAGACACTTTTTATGTTTTTTTTCCTCTATATCTAGTAGCTAAGTTAGTCTCTGTGTGTCCATGAGAATCTAATGAAGTAATTTACATGCAGGTAGTGATTTTCCATCGTTTCCAGAGAAAATGTGTTGGCTCAGCAGCAGCATAACAGCTTCATTTTAAAATTATTAATGTGAGCAGACTGTTGCAGAACGCTACATATGGCTGCTCATCAGTGCAGAGAATCCACATATGCACAGATGATGCCTTTCAGGGATATTCGCTTGTTTTACCAATTTTTTTTTTTTTTTACAGGTTGTTCACAAAGTGACAGCCACATCCTGTAGTACATAGTGGACTTGAGTTCTAACAAGATGTTCCAGCTGTTCTTTGTGTTGTCATTTCTGTTGGTGTACTAATGAGAGTAAAAATATGTCCTTTAAAGTCCCCCTACCTGCTTTGCTGGACATTCCCACCATGCTTTTCTTCTGCTTCCAAAAGCTGATGTCATTCTTAAAGGCGAGGAAGTCGAAGAGGAGCTGAAGGAGAGTCACAAACGAGATGAAAAGCAGACATTTGAGTCACAGCGTATAAAAACAAAAAAACAAAAGAAAGAGGCATTTTTTTCTGGGAGTATTTATGTCAGGAGGTATTGAACCATTAAAAAACCAAAGTTTAAAGTATATATTAGGACTTTACGAGACGGAATGAATCAACTCTGAATCCATAGCTGAAGAGAAAGGAAAGGATCAGCTTTTTTTTTCTCATATTTTTACAGATTTAAATTCATGGAGAGTTTTGCAGACTGTTTGAAGACTATCAGTTTGAAGAGTAAACTATGAAAATCAAGCCTTGCTACACATCCTTAACTAGGACTGGACTTTGACTAGACCGTGAACACGCCTCTATGTAAATTATTCCCATTTTTTTAGCCCTACCTCTCATCTTATCATGAGTGGTTCTAGACAGGGGCCAACGGGGGCCAGTGCCCCTGTAGAACTGGCCCTGACCCCTATTATGACCCCTGTCCTGAAGAGACAATACTAATAAAATAATCTAATGATGAAATGCAGAGGAACAGACATTGTGACTGATGAACCTTAATCATATTTTAGGCATTTAAGATCATATTCAAGATAATTAAGGTGAGAGCTTTAGTCCTATTTAGATAGGATCGGTTTTCATCTCCTTAATGTTATTTTGAACCAAAGAAAAAATGTTACAACTGATTTGTCAGTTTTATTTACTTTCTAATTATGATTCGATTAAAGCAGGTAATCTTAATTTTAAGATTAAGTAAAAAAAATAATAATATTTGTGAATTATGAATGTATATTGATGTAATATTCCAGAGAACATCTTTATTCTTTCTTTTAGTATATCTCTTTTAGTACCTAATTATTTCCGTTCCTTTATTTCTAAATTGGTAATTTTTTTGTTCTTTTTACATATTAGGTTCTAAATGAACATTTTCAAACCAAAGATACAAATATTCAGTTGTAACAGCTGAAATTTTTAATTAAACCTAATGATGTGGACATTTCACTTCGTTCAGTGCAGAGCTATAAGTGGCTCCTTGGTTCTGCGGCTCTATTGATATAAATTAAACAATAAACTAATGTGCTGTTTTTTTGTTTTTTTTTTTCTAATTTTTATATGGAGGTTTTCTGTGCTGAAATAGTCTTGTCCCGGTCCCAGCCATGGTTGTCAGCAGGCCTTGTTAATACCTGAACGGAACCGAAAGCACAATCCGTACCATCAGCTCATTTGTGCAACCAGATATACATCCAGGTTGCTCTCAATTTTATTTTTTTTTAAAAAGACCTGAATTAAATTTTTCCCTTCTTAAGTGTACTTAAATATAATGTGTTAAAGGTTAATAATGTATTTCCTGAGAAAACCCGGTTTTCGTCTGTGCCCGATATGTACAGGAAAAGGGATCCTATGCTACATCCGGGAGCTAACTTTTTCAGCTTTGGATGTAAACGTAAATCTAGTCTTTTTGAATTTTACTTTTTCCTTTCGCGTTAACCTTATGGTATATAGTGTAAAAACTAAAGAATGAAACAACTAAAAACCAAAAAAACCATGGGCCGTGTCTCAATATGTTTACTTATGCGTTCTCATGTGCTCGTGAAACATCATCAGCCTCAGCCCTTGTACTGCTCCCTCTTTACCCAGCATGCATCAGAGCAGACTTGTCTGTTCTTCAGATTCAGAGCTATCCCAGCATGCACTGCAGCAGCAGCAGCTTCCAGGTTAGCGCTCACAGAGCTCAGAGTATTTAATTAAAAGATCTTTCTGTTGCTGTTGTTCAATAAAAGTACATTTTAAGATCATTTGAGGCGAGAAAATTATACTTTTAAGCGTCACTATATGGCCCATTTATTGATTTAATGTGTCATTAAAAAAAAAAAAATTATAATAATAATAATAAATAATTTATTATAATCTGGAGACTTAATAACAGGAGGTGAAATGCAGCTCCAGACGAGCCGACCGTGTGATGACGTCACGAGAACGCTTCTGTTCCAGTTGACCCATATTTATTCTGCATTCTCCCGTTCTCCCCAAGTCCATACTTTCCTGCGGTCCTCTCAAGAACATACTTGGGGGGACCACGAAGCCATACTTGCATCCTTGTAAATCGAAAAATGGCCATGGTGTAATCCTATTTTCCCGGACTACTCTGAGCATGTCCAATGGTGACGTCAGACAAGCAGTTTAACAGAGAAAATGCAAAAAGCATAGAATTGAATCAGAAAACTCTTAAAACATTTTTTAAAGATGTGTAATAGCATTGTTTAGTGAGTTAAGGATAGAAATAAGATAATAATTCTAGTACCATCATTACATTATTTATGGAAACCCGGATGCATATCTGGTTGCGCATGCACAAATAAACTGATGGTGTGGAACGTGCTTCCGGAATGAATCAGGTAGCGACAGGCCCGTTAGCAGAGCATCAATAGCTTCTCAGCTGATGGATAAAGGGCTCTGTGAGACGGTCAAATGTTTGAAAGTATTTTTCTCAGTATCCTGACCTTCTCCAATCAACCTCTGAGAATAACTGGATTTATAGTGAGATTAAATCGGTAAGTTTGTTGGTAGCACTGAGCTTTAGAGGTATTTAAGTGAAGGGGATCTAAAAAAAACATTACAGCATATTTAATATGTCCTGGAAATCCTTGTGTTCTTATGACTCACATGGAAGGCTGCGACAAAGAAGGTCAGAGCCAGGAAGTACAGGTTGGTATCCACAAAGATCCCTTTGATCTCATCAGCATCTTTTTCTGTGAAACCTAAAAAAAAAAAAAGAGAGAGAAATGTTAGCTGTATGTACTGGACATGTGTCTGTGTGAGCGAGTCAAAGAAAGATCAGCCTACCAAACTGCTGCAGAGAGTAAACAGCATCCTGCATGTGGATCCAGAACCGCAGGCGGCCCAGAGAAATGGAGTCATAGGAGACAGTCAGAGGGAGCTCTGTGGAGGTGCTGTTGATCTCCTACATTTCAAAACATGAAAAAAAAAAAAATCAGAAAATACACGCCTCTAATTTCAAAACGGAAACATTTTCTATGTGAAAAATAATTAGAATTCATAATTTAAACATAAAAGATTCAGGAGGAAAAAGCCTAACAGAACCACAAGTGTGTTTTTACTCCTCGCTCTATAAAGCAGCGTATTGCAATATGTTTATAAAAGGTTAAAACTCACCACCAGGTCCTTGACCCTGTTGCTTAGCTCGTCGACAAACAGCAGAGGTAGATACACCATCTTCTTCCCGTTCTGGAATCTAAAGCAAAAACAAACCATTGATAGATTGAGCCGTACATTTTTACAACCCCCTAACAAAATAAGAAACAGAGGCTGTCCAAAAGATCATTTTACTTTGAAAACTAACATATCAAGCATGGATTCACTTCCTGTCTCGATCAACTCTTTATCCATTTAATTACTTTATTTTCTATCTTTAATATTGGTGATTTAAGAGCTCTATTTAGGGAGGACAGGAAAAACGGTTATCTTAATACTAAATACACAAATTTCATTGACATTCTTGACACATAAATCAAAGTGAGTGTTTTATTTTATATTAAAGTCATTCTTTGTGACGTTCATCTTTCCAAAAAGTTCATTATTCTCTATGTTCTTTAAAGAATCAAATTCTCAACCCAGTTGGGAAAACATAGAGTTAGCTTCAGCATTAAAGACTTGCTGTTCAGGGTTGATGAAGAATGATTAAGCTTTATAAATTGGACATTTCAAGCCATTTTAAAAGCCAGAGGATGTGCTGCAAAGGGTTTTTTTTTATTGACTTTTTTTTTCTACATATGTAAGTAATAAGATTCAGTTTTTCATTGAGCTAAAAACAATTAAATAATGTTTACAACAATCAAAATGTTCTTATATATGGTCAAAAAAAGTGTGAACATATTTGGTTTCTTCTCTGCAAGTTGTTTTGCAACAAAGTTTAAAACTACCAACTGGAAGCCCTTGTAGAATGGTAAGTCTATATTTAGCTGCCCCTGCATTGTGTGGGATCATTGTCTCTCTTACACTCTGAGGTATCTGTGAACGTCGCTTGGCAGGTATTCTCTGTCGAACAGGAAGTGGTCGCCGACGATGTTGAGAGTTAGACGGGAGCGCCAGTGAGAAACTGGATGGTCTGAGGAAGCGCTGGTTCCACCTTTAGCTCCAGTTCCTGCTGCAGGTTTATCGTCACGTTTCATCTTCTTCTGCTCCTCCTGTTTCTGATCCTGTTGGACAAAGAATGTTAACAAACTTAATGCCCGTAGAAACAAATCTTTAAGTTTTCATGTAAAAGTTTTGAAAAGGAGAAAACTTGTTGAAAAAGTTCATCTTGACATTACTGAATGCAGATATCCCTTACTGTGAGTTTATTGAGTTTGTGTTCATAATATGACAATATGGTTCGAAAAGAAACAGTCGGTTCAAGTCCAAAACAATGCAAGGTTTAAGATTATAAAGTTAGAATGAGTAAAGCAGAGAAGTAGCAGTTCCTCCAAAAGAGGAGCGAAGAGCAGAAAGCGATGTACCAGCGTTTGATCGTCTCCAGAGATCAGAGAGATCTCCGGAGGCTTTGGGACCATGTAGGTGGTGAGCTGAGCCACTAAGTGGACCTGTCGTGGGTCCTGCCATGGATTGAGGCCAGCCTGATGGACGAATATTAATCCATATAAAGTTCCATTGTTACGCGTTTTCTTCGGGAGTGAAACATTGACAATTCTACAGGGAAACAAACAAAAAAATAATGCATACGTTTTTAACCAAACTAGAAAAAAATGGATAGATGCTTCTTGAGATCAATGCATGTTTTGCTAACCTCTCAAACTTGCTGTTGACATCAAAGTTCTCCTCTCTGTGAATCAGAGTATGGCCGCCATCTGCGCTTGGCTTCACCGAAGCGTAGATACTCAACTAACAAGCAGAAAGAAATGTTACAGATCAATTAAAAACTATTAATGTTTGAATCAAAGCGTCCATAAACCATGGCTGACCTGCAGTTTGGGGTTGCCTGCCAGGAATGGTGTGATGCAGTTGTCTCCTTTGGGGCTGTCACAGGGTTTGGTGTACACTATCCCATACATCACCCAGCATGTGTGCAGCACATACACCACAAACACCCCCACAATCAGAGTGGTGAAGGAGGTTTTCAGAAACATGATGGCCGTCTTCCTCAGCTAGCTGAGCAGCAGGCCCATACGTCTGCAGATGAGCGGAAAAAAACAAAGATTCAGGAGGAGGATTTTACTTTCAAGTAGATTTTACAATCAAAATGTTAATGTTTTAGTAATTCTGATCAAAAAGAGAAACTAATAAATTTGCTTTCCAATTGATATGACCTTCAAGAACAAAAATTTAAGAGATTTCTAATGCTGACAGCTGATCTGCTAAGATTTTTACACACAACCAACTTAAGGGTTTTTAGAGTAAATATCCAATGACCTTCAACAACACTGTTTTTTTTTCTTCAGATTTTAGAGAACAATGAGCTGATTTGATTGGACAATAATGCTTCAAATAATCACTTGTTTCAGCCAAGGTATGTATGAAATCATCTCTGAATACATTTTAAAGCCGTAAAAAGATTAACGAGGTGAAAAAGGACCACACTGGGTCCTCTTACTACTAGCTCAAAAAAGAAACCTGAGAACATTAGATTAGAAACGGATGCCTGGACGATGAGTTTCAGTTTCACCTGCAACATTCAGACGGTAGACCAATGGTTCAGGCTGGGGGTGGTAGTGTAATGGTTAGGGAGACATATTACTAGGAAATGTTGGGTGGCTTAATACAAACTGAACATTATTCACTTATTTATCACTGCCCTTCACAGTCAGTAGATCTTAATCAAACAGAACATGTTTATGATGCGGTGGAACTGGAAATACAGATCATTGGTTTAAAGACCTCAGAGAAATGTGTCGGACAATTTGCTGAACGGATGCCATCCAGAACTATGTGGCTCTGAAGGTGCCTAATGAAGCAGTAGTGAAGAGTTTTATATCATAATAGATTTATAATAAATTAAAAAAAAATGTATTTTGTCAGCTGGTGACTAATGTGTACTACAAAAGGAAATCCAAATGTATGTTTCTTTAAAAAACTAGAATAGTACAAAAGAGTTATAAAAAGAGATCTTTAATTAAAAAAATCTCAATGTTTTAGGTGCAAAAAGGAACAACCCTGTTTTGGCATTGGTAGTATCAGTGTACCATGTACCACATGTTATATAGTACATGGAGAAACTTTTAAATGAGCTGACATTTCTTTATAAAAAATGAAATGGTGTTAATTAGTTGGATGCCATTTGATGTTAATGCTAATTGATTTATAAATTATAGTAGTTACAAGAAAAAAATGCCTGAAATAAATCAATAAGTTTTACTTCTGCAGTTTAATTAAAGAAAACAACAACAACTTTTTAATTATATATTCTAATTTACTAACATGTGTCTATAAGTTGATTATTTAAAAAAAAGAAAGATTCTTTCTCCTTATTATGTGAAAGTAAATCTGACTGCTGAGGACTTTTTGGCACAACTTGCTTTTCCAGTTTGGTGATTTACTGGTGAAGCTGTTAAATGTACAGACAGCAGCATTTAAACGCTTTAAATTAAACCAAATCAGACACATTTTTCAAAATATTTGATTGGGAGATGTCCATATGTTCTGATATAAAACGTTTTTATTCGAAAAAAATACAGAAGTTCACATTTTAGAACGACCATACAAAGAGAAGTAATGAAAGTAGGATTTTATCCGCAAAGTGGAGATTAAAATGAAAGGTAGTAATTCATATTACCAGTGTTATAGTTAACGAGAGGACGCTCAGTCTCAGCTGGATCACTGGCTGTCCATCTGTCCATTCACGGTGCGGATCACAGCGGCCGCATTGTGTCACTGGAGCCTCCTTCTGCTGCTAACTGAACACATCTGCTGCCTGCTTCAGGGTTCGCTCCTTCCAAGACACAAAATACGCCAAAAATCCTGACTAAAAGCGTGAGGTAGATCTACATTTCCGCCATTCGCTTCCTGGTTGGTTGGCTTAGGCGAGATTTGAAAGATAATATCGCGAGACTTCACGTAAAAGTAGGGGGGGTTTGAGGCAGCTGTGACGTGTCGCAAATAAAATAAAATACTAAAATAGGAAACAACAAAAACAAAAAAAAATGCGTTAAAGTCTTTATATTTTTATTTATCAAAGAGATCATCTAATGTGTTTTTACTTCATCCTTTTTGAATTAACAGTTTAATCTATTTATTTCTCTATTTACATATAAATAGTATTTTCTATGCTGTCTACAGACAAAAAATTTTTTAAGTTTAAGACATAGAAAGGCATTATAGAAGCTAAATATGAACATTTACATTCTTAAAAACAAAGAGGATGACAAGGTTGAATTTGTACAGACATGCATGATTTCTTGCACAGTATCACTGTGACTTATTAATGTTTGTCTGAAAAATCAGACTGAGAAGCAACTACCTTTCTGTCGCTTACTCAAAAGTTAAAGTCCAAACTGTTTTGTTTACAGAGTCTGTGCCCTGTTTCCATGACCACAACCTCTACAAAAAGGGTTTCCCTTATGCGTCTTCTGGCCTGACAGCTTGGACAGAGTCAAACAAACTGAATTTACAGCAATGGCGTAACGACACAACAATAGGCCCGTAAGCAAGATTATCTGGGTCGGTCCCATATGAAGTATAACACCCCCATCTACACTCTGGTTACCCATAATTCCAAGTGGTGTTGTAAAAAAAAAAAAAAAAAAAAAAAAAAATACCCAAACACATCTTTCTTTTAAGATCTTTATTGTGGTTTGAAACATATTATATCAGTGTATTTTTTTTACCAACCGTCTGATGAACTATACACAGTTATTAACATAGTAATTAAAAGTACCACTGTCTGCTGTGCTATTGGTGTTGTGTTTAAACGACCAGTGACGTGCGGTGAGGTTCATAGCTGGTGAGGCACTGACGTCATCAGAATCAGATTTGCAAATAGATGCATAGATTGACAGCAGTTTACAGGTTATGTTTCACTTCTGCATCCTTACACATACAAACTGTAGCTCACAAAACACACATTTCCTTAAAAAACAAAACAAAATAAATGTTATTACTGTCTTACCTTTACTTATAAATGAATAGAAGTCCTCCTTATCTTCCTTCAGTTTTAAAAGTCTCTCTGTCTCAATGGAGATCACTGCCAGGGAAGAAAGCCTTCCTTGATCCGTCCTGTTCCTGCCTTATGTTTTCAGTCTCTTGAGCACCCCCTGCCATGAGGCAAGAGAACTGGCTGCCTCACCTCGAACTTGTTCTCTGCCGTTTATAATCGCTCATTACACGAAACACGTTACACAAACACAGTTGGTGACAAAAAGCTCTGTACATTATATACATAAGCCAAATTATTAGAAATAAGTTCACATATTACATTTGTTTAAACCATTTTATTGACGCCGTACAGCAACATGCTCTCTCCGCTTTGCAGCCAGCGCAGAGCCAGGGGTTGCGCAATCCAAGGTGAGGCAGAGCTCGCTGCTGCCTCACCGGCATCGCTTCCAAGCATTTGAATGGGAAAATAAGAAAATTCAGCGATTTTGAACAAATAAAAATCGAAATTGGTGAAGCTACATGAAAAATGAATATTTTTTAGTACAAACCACCGGATGAATATAACAATTTAAATTACTTTATGATTATATATTTTCTTTCTTTCCATGATGGCTGGTGAGGCACTGCCTCACCTGCCTCCCCTGACCGCACGTCACTGTAAACGACTTACCATCATATTGAAATCTGACATGTGTTGGGGTATAAATAAGTCCCGGTCAATTGTTGGTGTATCAGCTGAATTAAAGAGGAGTTTTTCGCACCATTACATCTGCAAAGAAACATGCTAGTTTACAATTGCGTAGGGGGCCAACCAGATAATAATGACAGGGCCACTTTACACCATTGATTTACAGTAAAAGAAAGACAGAAAAAAATGAGTTTTTAGCACCCCCTTCAGGTCATTACAAACACTGGATATTCAGTTTGAATCATAGATGTTGAAGCTTGAGCATTTCAGCTTTGATTATATTTTTTCTTTGGTTCCAAGTTTTTTTTTAAAATAAAATATGTGTGTTTTGGTTCATATTTTTAAGTTACTTTGTGTCATTTAAGAAACATGTATCAAAACATTCGCCAGATAAATAACATAACCGCAGATCATATATTGCTTCTTTGACAATTTATAAAGTTTTTCTACACACAGTAGTTATTTCCGAGATATGGTAGATAAAGATAATGCATGTTAGTAGTTAAGCGGTACAAACATCCAAAAATTCACACAGTCAACACTTGCCGTGACCCGGATTCGAACCGGGGTTGCTGCGGCCACAACGCAGAGTACTAACCACTATACGATCACGGCTGATGATGACAGAGGTTTTCTGTTCAGACTGGTCTCTGGCGGAAGTTGATTCGGATTAAAATAGAACTTTAACTACTAGTTTCGCCTTATAATTATGCCACTCTATAAAAAAAAAAGTAAAATAACACTTATTATTGTAGTTTAATGTGTAACACTATTTAAAACAACTGTTAATTATTTAAAAGTAACCTAAATGCATTCTTTAATCTTAGTAGTACTGTAGAGTGCACATTATGAAAGTAAGTTGAGTTTACTTTAATGACTGGTAATAAAGATTCACAGAAAGCTAATATTTTTCAGGATCTCACTTTTTTGATATTCACTTTAATAAAAACAAACAAACAAAACAAAACAGGAGTTATTAAATGTTTGCTTATAGTTTTATTTGGATTCAAATTTAAAAGATGTTAATTTTCTATCAGGAGTCTATCTGATCTTTTGCTATTTTTTTTACTTAAACAAATTATGAATTAAAGTGTGTCAAATACCCTGTGGTGGATCTGATTTTTTTTTTCAATATCTGAGTTATTCTTAAATGCACAAATGGCAGTAATTTTACAGATATAAAGAAATTTGTGAATAATTTAAACACATGGTATAGGATGTTATATATTTTTTATGACTATACTTACCACTTATTGAAAAACTAGACACCCCTGTCTTATTGCCCAATAAAGGCTTATTTTACTAAAATGACTACTTATTTATTTGTGTCCTGTTTTGCCAATATATCTCTGGGAATCAATGTCCCAGAGCTACATGATCACTGCGGGCGTAAGTTTCCTCTTGGTACTTGTTATATAAAGCTGAAATAGAAGGTATGAAATTGAAAATGATTTAGGGGGTAAAATCATATACAAAGACAGAAAGGAAGGTAAGAAAGAAAGAGGGGATAAGAACTAATGATAGAGAGAGAGATAGAGACAGGATAGAGTGCCTGAAAAGAGAGAAAATAAAACATAAAAATTAGACAATAAGGAATATAAACAGTAACTCCTACAAGTCTGCGTCCACACCTGTAGGAGATTTGAAGAACACAATACAGAGAGCATTACAGCAAAAAGAAGACAAGAGACAACCAGAGTAATCAAAAAAAGCTTAAAGATAGTATTCCTTAGATATCCGTGTGTCGGAGTCAGAACCTATGGTGATATATATTTGTAGCTGCAGCTTAGTATTTAGTATTATCGAGTTTATCTGGTATGTATGCACGGGCATGCTCGAGTATAAAGAATATACAAAATTCTCTTCAGAAACGAAATATGTTTAATATCAGGTGTGAGTGTCCCCAGACTCACCCTACATTCGTCAGGTCCAAAACAAGAGGACCTTATTTTCAAGACAGAGAGACAGGTTTCACAAAATGTTTATTCAAGGCGGAATTTTAGAGAACAGCGTCTTAGCAGGCACCTCTGGTCTTAAAGTTCAGTCCGTGCCCAGAAGATGAGCTTCCAAAAAGACAGGTGGGCACCGCCCAGAGAGTTCCAGACTGATGTTCCGGAGATAGGAGAACAGGCATTAGACAGAACCAAGCACATGAAGGATGGCAGGATAATCCAGAAGGTGAAGCCAAAGCAGTGTCAAGGACCTGCCAGGAGTCAGGGCCTGGTGATCAGAGATCGGAAGAGGTAGCAAAGGAGAATCCAGGACAATGTCAGGAATCAGTTCCAGGTTCGTTACACAGGCAGAATCCAGCAGAAGTCCGAGGACAGGTCAGGCAAACAGATCAGAGCGGGAACAGGTAGGCTCAGAGGTCCAGAGGTGGATTGGGTCAGGATCAGGCAGTCAGAAACACTCAGGTACGCTAGAAAACTCTCACCAAAGGCTAGAATAATCCGGCACTGATGACTGGTTAAAGGCTGGTTAAAAAGAGGCTGAAGCAGGTGGATGAGATGAAAGGTAATAAGAACTTGGTGGAGCTAGACAGGTGAATGAAATGAGTAAAAAAAATCCCTTCATTAAATCTATATTCAGGATGATAGACATAAATTATAAATTACTTTAAAAATAATTACATTAATAAAAAAGAACTTAATCTCCAAATCTTCATTAGTTTGTTTTAGCGCCACTATAAAATGGCCTGCCAGCATCATTCATTTCTAATTCTGTTATTTCAGAGGAAAGTATTTAGAAGCACAGTGCAGCTTTTATCATTTTATCAATCCAACAGCATTAGAATGGACTATATATTGAATAATCAATCATTTAGAGAAATGAGATTCAGTTGTCATCACACAAGTTTCCATCCTTTATATGTGGGGTAACCTCTTGTTAAAAGGAAGGGCACTCTCTTTATTTTACAGAAAAACACAGCCTTCAATTAGGTATGGTATTTTGCCAAAAACGTCTTCAAAGATTAAGTGTGTCCTTGTAACCATGCAATTAAAATTTTCAGTAGACTCAAAATCTTTCGGCCAATCTGAACAAATAAATTTAAGACAAACCTTTACATGGCTGCAGATTCACCATTAACATACTATAAACCTTTTTTAAGGGTTAATACTACTGAGTCCGCATAATAAAGCGCTTCTCTTTTCTTTTTCTTTGTACTACTTTGAGGTTAGGGGGTTCCTTGTTTGAACTGTGTCTCAGTCTTTTTTGGGGTTTAAGCACAGCTTGTTC